GGATATCAATCCATGTGTGGATCCAGAGGCTTTTCTTCAGGGAAACCAGGAATCAATTCTAACTTTCTGCAACACACCAAGTGTGGTTCTGGTGAGTGGGCACTTCTTCTATTCCGATTGTGAGGAACATTTACTGATCAGGAACAAGGACTATCATTTTAAGAGCTGCACTATTTCTATGGTGCTTCAAATTTCCCCTCACGTAGAGTCTGCCGTGGAACGCAAGCCAGGCCTGGTCCCTACATTTCAAGGGAATCCTTTCCATATTTGACAAGCGCAAACCCTCCCTCAGAATATGGCCTGGGCAATCCTTCAAGTCCAGCGGTGCATGAAACGCAGAGGCCACAATCCTCTCCCTCAAGAGCCTCCCAGGGAGTGACTTGACCTCCTCCGCAGTCACACACCACCGCCTAAGAATCTTCAAGCACGGGGCAACACTTATAAGATGGGAGCTTACCGTGCTTGACCCGCAAGCTTCTCACTGGCCCGCCTCTCTCCCAGCAGCCCAGAAAAGGTCTAAACAAAACTTGAAAAAGGCTCACCCATGCCGGCAGGTTCTCTTTCAACATATTACCAATGTTATGCTTTATAAACATCAAAGAGAAGAAAACAATCGGGTTGACCATACCTAGGCCACCCTCCCGCCGGGATCGGTAAGTCACATTCCGCTTCACAAGGTTCAGCCTGTTCCCCCATAACAGCTGGAAGAAACAACTGTAGACCCTCGTGTAGAGAGACTCTGGCAAGAGACAGACGAAACTGACGTGCAAGAAAATGGGGACCAAGTAGGTTTTAATTAGGTCAACCCTTTCCCTTAGGGACAACCGCCAACCCTTCCAGCATCTCACTTTGACATCAGCATCTGACAACCTGGATTCCCAATTTGTTTTATTGTAATCATCAGGTCCAAATTCGATGCCTAACACTTTGATCTTCTGACGGGGCCCTGGGAAGGCATCCGGAAGCTCGAAACCCTCACCTTCCCTACCCATCCAGAAAACTTCACATTTGTCATGATTAATCTTGGAGCCTGAAACCTCCGCATACTGCTCCATCACTGAGACCACCTCCTGCACCTCACTAGTCCCAGAGATGAAAACAGACACATCATCAGCATAAGCCACGACTCTCAGAGGTGACTCACCAGTAGCACCCCTGGACACCCCGTCCAACACCCCGCCATCTAGCCTCCTGATAAAGGGGTTGATGGCAAAGACATAAAGCAAAGGGCTCAGCAGACACCCCTGGCGCACCCCTGAACCAACCTCAAAGGGCCGCCCAACCCAACCATTGACCAACATGAAGCTCTCAGCCCCTTTATACAATGTCTGCAACCATCCAATGAACCTCCCCTCCAGGCCATACCTGCCAAGGATATGCCAGAGGTACTTGTGATCAACCCAGTCAAAAGTCTTAGCTTGATCAGCAAGCCAGCAAATACTTCCCACAACCATCAGCCCTGCACCGCTCCAGAGCCTCCCGGACAGCTAACACCGCTGTAAAGGTGCTCCTGCCCTGGACCGAACAGTGCTGCTGCTGCGAAAGTAGACCGCCCGCCACTGACGACAAGCGCCAGAAAAGGATCTTGGCCAAAATCTTTCTATCGACATTGAGCAGGCTAATGGGGTGCCAATTCTCAATCATCGCTGAGTTCTTACCTTTTGACAGCAAGATCATGGCTGATTTCCTCATGGAGGGAGGGAGTGAACCCTCATCTAAACAGCAATTAAACACCTCCACTAGGTGAGGTACCAAGTGAGATTTAAAGGTCTTAAAAAAATCAGCTGTCAAACCGTCTGGCCCTGGTGTCTTCTTAATGGCCAAACTATCTATCGCTTTGGCGACCTCTTCAGCCGTGATCTCACTTGTCAAACTTGCAGGCGGATTGTTATTTTCCAAACCTGGTGTAGAATCCAGGAAGCTTGACATCCCTGCCCGATCAAGGTGCTACTTCTTCAGAAGATCTTCAAAAAAAGCCCTTGAGACCTCCAAGATCCCTGACCTGGATTTCATCAAGGATCCCGTACTATCCCTCAGACCACTGATCGTTTTAACTGCTATGCTCTGTTTGCAGCTCTGGTAAGGGTCGGGCAAGTGATATTTCCCGTAGTCCCTCTCCAGAACCAAAGTGGCATGCCGATCATACTGATACTTCTTCAAGAGCAGCTTAACCTCTGAGATTGCCCCAGAATCTCCACCCTCAGAGACAAGGCGATCAAGCATCCTCCGCAACTGCTGATAGGCAATGTATTTTTCAAGCTAAATATTATAATAGTGTAGCGCTAAATAACATAATCAAAACAATCTGTATGAAAGTGATAAATTAAATGTATTGACCTTGTGAGAAATCTCACAGTGCCTAAAATACTCTAAGTGCTCATCACACGTGTCACTTATCTCATAAATATTAAACAACATATATCATAATAGTGCTATGTTAGAATCATTAAACATATTTTGTGTTAGTGCCACTTCAAATAAACATATAACGTGTGATCGTGCCAAATCACTATAAATTAATATATCGTCCAATGTCCAAAAAACAATATAAAACAATGTAATCCAAGTGATGCTTAAATGCACATGCAGTGTGTTATCATAGTGTCACTCGTGAAAAACACACTCTTCCACTTTGGCTGCAATGCCTCCTCACCTCCTTTCAGTGACCCCTAGGGGCCCACAAGCCTCTAGGATCACCTTGGATCCTCAACACTCCTGGATGGTACCTCTCAGGCTATCCTCCTATTTGGCCTCCTCCACACCTTTACACCTTATGGAGTCCTCTACAGCGATCCTCTGTGAATTCTCACTCTCACAATAGTGAGTTCAAAAAAAGAGATCCTCCATAGTGTAGTAATTTTCAAATCCAGCATATATTTTTATTTATAGGGCAAATAAGAAGTAACTCACATTTGTGTACAGCGTTTTTCTTTTCCCCTGCATGGGTAAACTGCACTCTTGTGTTACTCTTGAAAAATGGCGTCCCGTACCGGAAGTGCGTCACTCCGGACTCCGGAAACTGCGTCTCTGCGTGCCTACGCGTTACGTCACGTAACCTCGTGACTTCATCGGGGTACCGCTATAGAGACGCAGATCTAATTTATACATATTAGGAGGTATATGTACCTCCCCTTCATTTGCATGTGCATGGCCGCCGCCATTTTCTTGAAGCCTACTCCCAGGGATTTCTATTATAATAACAACCTAGTATTTCATTTTACTAGGGTCCTTGTTATGATGCATGAAGAAATGTCTTGACACATTATGTTTCGGATACCCTTTTAAAATATTTCTCATATGTTCCCCTAGTCTCTTCCATAGTGGTCTCTTTGTTCTACCTATATATTAGTATCCGCATTCGCATTCCAGACAGTACACCACTCCTATGGTTTTACACGTAATAAAGTCTTTAATAGTATATTCCTGTCCTGTAGTATTAACCCTGAAGCTCTTTCGTTTAATGTTTTTTGTGGCTTTACAGGCAAGGCAATTTTTTGCATGGGAAAAAACCTATGTCATTCAAAAATGTCAGTTTATTCGTGTATGGAGGATCTAGCACACTTTTTACCACCCTAGATTTAACCGTAGGTGCTTTACGATACACAAACCTTGGATAGTCTGATAAAACTGTAGTTAGCATAGGGTCCAATTTCAAAATATTCCAATGTCTTTTGAAAATAGATTCTATTTTTTTGTAGTGGATATTGTAATCAAATACTATAGGTAACTCGTCATTCTTAATAACTTCTTTATTTTTATCCTTCAGCAGTACCTCTCTTTCCATATTTCCAACTTCTCTTATTTTCTGAGTGATCATGTCTTTTGAATATCCTTTCTCTACGAATCTGGACCCCAGTTTACTTGCCTGTTTCAGATAATCTTCATGTCTAGTACAATTCCTCCTCACTCTCACAAACTGACCTTTCGGTATATTGTATAGCCAAGGAGGATAATGGCAACTTCCCATTGGTATGTAACCATTCCGGTCCACATTTTTAAAAATGTTTTTGTTATAAATGTGACAAGTGTTATATTTAAATCTAAAAATGTAATCTCCTCCTTACTGTGCTCCCATGTGAACTTTATATTTTTATCATTATTATTCAATTTATTAAAAAAATTCACCAATGCTGTTTCTTCTCCTTCCCATATTATTATGACGTCATCAATAAACCTCTTGTATACCTTTAATTCTTCCAGATAATTAGTATATATCTCCATTTCCTCCCAACATGCCATAAAGATATTCGCCACACTTGGTGCATACCTAGCGCCCATTGCTACGCCTCTTATTTGTTTGTAATAGGTACCACTATGCCAAAAATAGTTATGACTTAAGGAAAAGTCCAAGCATTCCAGTAGATATTTCCTTTGGGTCCATGTTAAATTACTGTATTTTCTAAGTCCCCAGTCCACTGATTTCATTGCGTCATCATGTCCTATTATTGTGTACAATGACGCCACATCCGCACTAGCTGCATACAGTCTTTTTGTTCCTTTATACTCTTCTAGAATCTGTATCAGATGTTTAGTATCTCTCAGATAGGCCTTTGTACTTTTGACCACTGGTTGCAAAAATTCATCAATATATTCCCCCATCCTAGCTAGTACCGATTCTATACTATTCACAATTGGTCTGCCAGGTGGTGTCAGGGATCGCGGCGTCCTGTCGGCCGACGCATGCGCGCTGGCGATGGCTCACGCCGGGACACAGGCACCAGGTCCCGGCAAGCCGCGCATGACAGGATGCCGCGCGTGCGCAGTGGAAGCCGTGGGCGCGCCTCGGGTGGCCAATGACAGCCCGGGGGCGCGTCCTGGGCGGCCAATGACAGTGCAGGGCGCACTATTTAAAGATGCCCTGCACTGTCAGTAATTGCCGCAAGGTCTATCTGTGATTCCGAGTTCCTGCACCCGTCTAGTGACCCTGTTTGACCCTGACTACGCTGCCTGCCCCTGTGATTGACCCGGATTGCCCTGACTACGCTGCCTGCTCCTGTGATTGACCCGGATTGCCCTGACTACTCTGCCTGCTCCTGTGATTGACCCGGATTGCCCTGACCATTCTACGGACTGACTTACCCTGCTGACCCTGCGTGTGACCCGACTACTCTTTGCCTGCCGATTCTGTACCTCGCTTACCCCCACGGGACCACGATCCGTTACTACCCTGCTGGGGCCGCCATCCGCTTCACATCTGGCTCTCCGGTACCTGCATACGTCCCCGGAGGTCTCCTCAGCCACTGGTGGGCCTGCTCAGAGGTCGTGACCTGGTCCGGGACTGTTTCAAGTCCATCCCCACCATCAGGGGCCCTGGTGAAAGCACAGCCCGGGCTTAGACCCCACGCTCTGGGTAGGTCTGTCAGTTGGCAGCCTGAGGCACCACCTGGCGGATCATAACAGTACCTTGCGGCCATGACAGAGCCAGGAAGTGGACCGGCGTCCCCAGAGGATATTTGCCAGCACCTGGCAACTTTGACCCAGGCTTTCCAGAATTTCCACAGTCGCTGCGCCCGACTGGAGGACCGCATGGAGTCGTTAGCCCCCCTGACTCCCCCTGCTCCATCTGCAGAACTTCCCGCTGCCCCGGCATCCGGAGCGGTTGCCACATCCCTAGCTCCTGAACCCCGTGTTCCCCTGCCGGAGCGATTCCGTGGTGACCGGAGCCGCTTCCGAGCCTTCCGGAACGCTTGCACCCTGTATTTCGACTTGCAGCCCCGCACGTTCACCACCGAGACCGTCAAGGTGGTGTTTATAGTCTCTCTCCTTCAGGATGAGCCCCAGGATTGGGCTCACCGCCTGATGGAGAAGCACGACCCGCATCTTGACTCCATGACCGAGTTCTTTCAGGCCATGGCTGTTTTGTATGACGACCCTCAGCGGGCTGCTTCCGCAGAGGCTACCCTATACTCTCTACGGCAAGGCCGTCGGACAGCCGAAGAATACGCGCCCGATTTTAGGCGTTGCATGGGAGACACCAGATGGAACGATGCGGCCTTATGTCACCAGTTCCGCATCGGGCTATCTGAGTCTCTCAAAGACGAACTAGCACGAGTAGGCCTACCTGACTCCCTGGAAAAACTGATTGAGTTGGCCATTCAAATTGACCGTAGACTAAGGGAACGTCGGCTGGAAAGGAGCAGCCAGGGTCAAAGGGTGGCATGGATTCCACCAAGGGATACAGCTCCAGCCCAGGGAGCCATCTGCGAAGCACGGAATCAGGGGACAACCCGGAACCCATGCAACTGGGACTGGCCCGTTCCCACTTATCAGTCGAGGAACGTCAGAGGAGACGATCACAGAACCTATGTCTGTACTGCGGGGAAGCTGGTCACCAGGTGCGCTCCTGTCCTGCAAAAATGAGTAAGTCCACGTCCTTTTCTTTTACTTTACCTGCAGGAAGGGATGATCAGTCAAGTTACCTGGCCATACCTGTGTCTTTACAGCTCCCCGGAGGAACATTGTCGGTGACCACAATCGTTGACTCAGGAGCCTGTAGTTGTTTTATCGATCTGACTTTTGCCCACCGGCAAAAAATCCCTCTCCAGACCAAAGAAAGGGGGTTCAACATCTTCTTGGCAGATGGGTCCAGTATAAAATCAGGGGTGGTGGACCAGGAGACACCACCCATTTTCACCACAATGGCAGACCATCACCAGGAGTTCCTCCTTTTGGATGCCATCGCATCTCCCCTTTTTCCTGTCATTCTGGGGCTCCCTTGGCTGCGGGCCCATAACCCCCAGATTGACTGGGAAAGGGGAACTATTCAATTTCGGTCGCCTTACTGTTTGAGTCACTGCCACGTCACAGGATCCGTGGTTCCCCGGTTCCTCCTGTGCTTGGATGGCGACACCAATCTATCCCAGGTTATTCCTCCGGCCTACCATGACTTCTTAGACGTTTTCAGTAAGCGAGGAGCTGACATTCTTCCTCCGCACCGTTCCTACGATTGCCCCATAGACCTCCTACCCGGGTCTGAAATCTCGTTCGGCCGTATCTTTCCTTTGTCTGAAACGGAATCGGGAGTACTGAGGGAAAATATTGAAGAAAACCTTCGGAAGGGATTTATTCGTCCATCCACATCCCCAGCCGGGGCCGGGCTGTTCTTCGTAGAGAAGAAGGACAAATCATTACGGCCCTGCATAGACTACCGTGATCTGAACAAAATAACGGTAAAGAATCGTTATCCCTTACCCCTAGTCCCCGAGCTCCTCCAGAGATTGAGATCAGCAATGATATTTACTAAATTAGACCTGCGGGGGGCCTATAACCTTGTTCGTATCAGGGAGGGGGATGAGTGGAAGACGGCTTTCCGTACGAGATTCGGCCACTATGAGTATGTCAGGAATGGACTGGCCAGCAATGGTGGGACTCACCTGCCTTATGGGCTGCAGTACCAGGGCTGGCCAGCGGGTGCTCCCAGCAATCAGAGACTCAACCTTGCAACTGAAACCTGAAACTGCTTATACTGGTGTATTTAAGGGATGGCCAGACCTGCAGACTCTGCCTTGGCGTGTGTTTCTCCTGGGCCCTGTATCCTGTTCCTGCTCCCTGTTCCTGTCTGATTCGTTGCTGACCCTGCTCTGATCCCTGGCTTTGTCTGACCATTCTCCTGCTCCTGATCCCTGGCTTTGTCTGACCATTCTCCTGCTCCTGATCCCTGGCTTTGTCTGACCATTCTCCTGCTCCTGATCCCTGGCTTTGTCTGACCATTTTCCTGCTCCTGATCCCTGGCTTTGTCTGACCATTCTCCTGCTTAACCCCATACGTTCTGACCTCCTGTTGATAATCCCGGCCTGCCTGACGACGCTTGCATTGTATGTATTGTTATCTGTGGGTGGTTTGGTTTGGTTCGTTTGCACTGTGTTATGTTTTAGTATTGCACTGCGTTTATGTATTGTTAGTGTTAATAAATTATATTGTTTATAACATATCTGAAGCCTGCGTTTCCCTGCGTCAGTCACATACCTCCGGTCACACCCTGGAGCCCTGACATTACACCAAGGCCAATCCTGACCAGAAGTGGCTGCACAGGGAAGCCATCTTGGTTTGTTGATGGGAAGGATGGATCTTGATGAGGTTGTGTATTTATATCTGCTAGTGTTTGATGACAGAGAGTATGCTTATCAAACTCTGAAGGAGTATCCCCGGGATGAACTGCTAGAATGTATATGGCTCGCTCATGTTCTAGTAGATCAGGGCACAGAATTCTCTGAGGTGCAGCCATTGATTCAGATTTGTGCGGAGTTGGTTTCATCTGGTACCCCCGAATGCAGGGATGAATTTTTGCTGCCATTTAGTGCCGACCAGGTAGAGTCCTTGGTATGGTTATTAGAGGATGATATGGATTGCTTCTTGGAGCATTATGCTGCATGTTCACCACAGGTACTAAGAGATTGTATAAACCCAGCCTGATGCCTCTCTTCAGCCTGATGCCTCTCTTCAGCCTGATGCCTCTCTTCAGCCTGATGCCTCTACTCAGCCTGATGCCTCTACTCAGCCTGATGCCTCCACTCAGCCTGATGCCTCTACCCAGCATGATGAACTGATCCAGCCTGATGATCCTATTAGGCCAGTTGACTCGATGCCCACTGTTGATCCAGATGATCCGGTACCTGATCCGGTGCCCGCTGTCGTGCCAATTGACTCAGAGCCCGCTGTCGTACCTGGTGACTCGGTGCCCACTGCCTTGCCAGATGATGCGGTGCCCGCTGGCGAGCCAAATGACCTGATGCCTGGTGACCCAGTGCCTGCTGTCATACCTGGTGACCCGATGCCCGCTGTCGAGCCAGACGATCCAATGCCTGGTGACCCGGTGCCCACTGCCTTGCCAGATGACGCGGTGCCCGCTGGCAAGCCAAATGACCTGATGCCTGGTGACCCAGTGCCCGCTGTCATACCTGGTGACCCGATGCCCGCTGTCGAGCCAGACAATCCGGTACCTGATGACCCGGTGCCCGCTGTCGTGCCAATTGACTCAGAGCCCACTGTCGTGCCTGGTGACTTGGTGCCCACTGTCTTGCCAGATGACGTGGTCCGCTGTTGAGCCAAATGACCCAATGCCCGCTGTCCAGCCAGACGATCCAATGTCTGACCCAGTGCCCGCGGTCATACCAGTTGACTCGGAGCCCACTGCCTTGCCAGATGACACGGTGCCCGCTATCGAGCCAAATGACCTGATGCCTGGTGACCCGATGCCCACTGTCCAGCCAGACGATCCAATGTCTGACCCAGTGCCCGCGGTCATGCCAGTTGACTCGGAGCCCACTGCCTTGCCAGATGACGCGGTGCCCGCTGTCGAGCCAAATGACCTGGTGCCTGGTGACCCGATGCCCGCTGTCCAGCCAGACGATCCATTGTCTGACCCAGTGCCAGCGGTCATGCCAGTTGACTCGGAGCCCACTGTCGTGCCTGGTGACCCGGTGCCTGTCGCTCCGCCTGGGGGTCTGGTGCCCGCCGCTCCGCCTGGGGGCCCCGATGCCTGTCGCCCCGCCTGGGGGCCCAATGCCTGTCGCCCCGTCTGGGGGCCCGATGCCTGTCGCCCCTCCTGTGGGCCCGGCGCCCGCCGCTCCGCCTAGGGGCCCGATGCCTGTTGCCCCTCTTGGGGGCCCGGAGCCCGCTGCTCCGCCTGGGGGCCCGATGCCTGTCGCCCCGTCTGGGGGCCCGATGCCTGCTGCTCCGCCTGGTGGCCCGCTGCCTGCTGCTTCGCCTGGTGATCCGATGTGCCTCTGCCCGGAGTCCAGCCCGATATGCCTCTGCCCGGAGTCCAGCCCGATGTGCCTCTGCCCGGGGTCCTGCACGACGTGCCTCTGCACGGAGTCCTGCCAGATGTGCCTCTGCCCGGAGTCCTGCCCGATGTGCCTCTGCCCGGAGTCCTGCCCGATGTGCCTCTGCCCGGAGTCCAGCCCGATGTGCCGCTGCCCGGAGTCCAGCCCGATGTGCCGCTGCCCGGAGTCCAGCCCGATGTGCCGCTGCCCGGGAGTCCAGCCCGATGTGCCGCTGCCCGGAGTCCAGCCGCCCGGTGTGCCGCTGCCCGGTGTGCCGCCGCCCGGTGTGCCGCTGCCCGATGTGCCTCTGCCCGGAGTTCTGCCCGATGTGCCTCTGCCCGATGGGCCGCTGCCCGGAGTCCTGCCCGGTGTGCCAGTCTTTGATATCCCGCCAGTTACCAGACCCGGCCGGTGGAACATTTTGCCCAGCTAGGACTGTTTGGAGCGTCCTGAGGCCGCTCCTTGAGGGGGGGGTACTGTCAGGAATGGACTGGCCAGCAATGGTGGGACTCACCTGCCTTATGGGCTGCAGTACCAGGGCTGGCCAGCGGGTGCTCCCAGCAATCAGAGACTCAACCTTGCAGCCAGCCAAACACCTGAAACTGCTTATACTGGTGTATTTAAGGGATGGCCAGACCTGCAGACTCTGCCTTGGTGTGTGTTTCTCCTGGGCCCTGTATCCTGTTCCTGCTCCCTGTTCCTGTTCTGTCTGATTCGTTGCTGACCCTGCTCTGATCCCTGGCTTTGTCTGACCATTCTCCTGCTCCTGATCCCTGGCTTTGTCTGACCATTCTCCTGCTCCTGATCCCTGGCTTTGTCTGATCATTCTCCTGCTCCTGATCCCTGGCTTTGTCTGACCATTCTCCTGCTCCTGATCCCTGGCTTTGTCTGACCATTCTCCTGCTTAACCCCATACGTTCTGACCTCCTGTTGATAATCCCGGCCTGCCTGACGACGCTTGCATTGTATGTATTGTTATCTGTGGGTGGTTTGGTTTGGTTCGTTTGCACTGTGTTATGTTTTAGTATTGCACTGCGTTTATGTATTGTTAGTGTTAATAAATTATATTGTTTATAACATATCTGAAGCCTGCGTTTCCCTGCATCAGTCACATACCTCTGGTCACACCCTGGAGCCCTGACAGAGTATTTGGTGATGCCATTTGGGCTCTGTAACGCACCGGCAACCTTCCAGCACTTTATCAACGATGTTTTTCGTGATTTCCTCGATGTTTTCGTGGTGGTTTATTTGGATGACATCCTAATTTTTTCCCCCTCACTGGAGGTTCATCGAGGTCACGTGTCACGGGTATTAGAACGTCTGCGTCAACACGGGCTATACGCTAAGGCGAAATCACGTTCTTGGGACTGGTTCTCTCTTCCGCGGGGGTCGCGATGGATCCCCAGAAAATCACGGCAATCTTAGATTGGCCAATTCCCGCCGACAAAAAGGGGGTACAGCGTTTCATCGGCTTTTCTAACTTTTATAGAAAGTTTGTTAGGAACTTCTCCGGTCTGGTCTCCCCCATCACGCAACTAACGAAACAAGGGGTCCGCTTTAAGTGGACTCCCGAAGCTCAAACGGCATTCGAAAAGCTCAAGAAATTGTTCACCTCTGCTCCCATTCTCTGCCATCCGGATTCTTCTCTCCCATATGTTTTGGAAGTGGACGCCTCCGAAAACGTGGTAGGAGCGGTGCTGTCCCAAAGGAATGGTACCAAGGAACTACTGCACCCTGTGGCGTTCTTCTCCAGGAAGTTGACACCGGCGGAACGTAACTATGACATTGGAGATCGGGAGCTCCTGGCCATTAAATCCGCTCTAGAAGAATGGAGGTATTTACTGGAAGGAGCCACACACCCAATCCTAATATTCACAGATCACAAAAACCTTGAATATTTAAGAACGGCAAAACGACTGAGACCTCGCCAGGCAAGATGGGCTCTTTTCTTTTCTCGATTTACATTCCATATAATGTACCAACCCGGTACTAAGAATACAAAACCAGACGCTCTATCCCGCATGTTTGAGGACCCCGACGACGCAGTGGTACCTGACACCATCTTACCTTCCGGAAGCTTCCTCGCTCTACAAACGGAGCTTCGCTCCCGACTTCTCGACGCTTCTGTAGGACTACCAGTTCCGTCTGGGTCGCCCCTCCAGAACCACGGTGGGCTGTTTTGGAAGGAAGACCGGATCATGGTCCCGGAAGAAGTGCGAACCTTGGTCCTAGGGCACTGCCACGACCATCCAATGGCGGGTCACTTCGGGGTTACGAAAACTCTGGAACTACTACGGCGCTCGTTCTGGTGGCCGGATATGATCAAGGATTGCGAGCGTTACGTCCAAACCTGTCCCACCTGTCAAAGGAACAAGCCCTCCAGGAGCAGGGCATGGGGATTGTTACGTCCTTTACCTATACCCAAACGGGCCTGGCAGATGATAGCCATGGATTTTGTGGTCGAACTCCCACTATCCCAAGGCTACACAGCAATAATGGTGATCGTCGACCGCTTCTCAAAGATGGCACATTTTGTACCCCTGGAGAAGACCCCATCAGCACCAGAAACGGCACGGATCTTCATTAAGGAAGTAGTGAGGCTTCATGGGGTTCCCGAAGATATAGTGTCGGATCGGGGAGTCCAATTCACCTCCAGGTTCTGGAACGCCTTGTGTAAAGCGCTGGGAATCAAGCTGTCGCTTTCATCCGCCTACCATCCACAGACCAACGGCCAAACCAAGAGGACCAACCAAACGCTGGAACAGTACTTACGATGCTACACATCCTACCTTCAGGATGACTGGCTGACGTTGTTGCCTTCCGCAGAATTCTCGTACAACAACTCGAATCACTCAGCTATGGGTCAATCCCCGTTCTTTTCCAATTACGGGTATCATCCCACATTCCTCCCTGATCTGATGCCTGAAAATGCGGTACCGGCGTCTCAAGACATCTTGAACTTCTTTTCTGTCAATAACAAGACGATTCAGGAAGCCATCGCTAAAGCCCAAGAGGACAGTAAAAGGGCGTTCGACAGGAAATGAAGAGGAGAGTTACTGCTTCAACCAGGGGATCAGGTCTGGTTGGCAACGACCAACTTGAAGATGCTGTGCCCTTCAAGGAAGCTGGGACTCAAGTACATCGGCCCATTTCCGGTAAAACGAGTAGTCAACGAGATGGCCTACGAATTCGAGCTTCCGCGAACCTTCAAGATACATCCTGTGTTCCATGTGTCTCTCCTGAAGCCATCCAGACCGGATCCCTTCCCGGACCGTGAATCCAGACCTCCCGAGGCAGTCGCCATAGGTGACCAGGAGGAATATGAAGTGGAAACTATCCTCAGTTGCCGAAAGAGGGGGGGCCAGACGCAGTTCCTGATAAAATGGAAGGGTTATGGCCCTGAGGAGAACTCTTGGGAACCCATCCAGAATGTTCACGCCCCCAGGCTCATCCGGGAATTTTTTCATGGCCACCCGTGGTGGAGAGATCAGTGGGGCTCCCGGAGGGTGCCCATAGGGGGTAGGCGATGTCAGGGATCGCGGCGTCCTGTCGGCCGGCGCATGCGCGCTGGCGACGGCTCACACCGGGACACAGGCACCAGGTCCCGGCGAGCCACGGATGACAGGACGCCATGCATGCGCAGTGGAAGCCACGGGCACGCCTCGGGCGGCCAATGACAGCCCGGGGGGCGCGTCCTGGGCGGCCAATGACAGTGCAGGGCGCACTATTTAAAGATGCCCTGCACTGTCAGTAATTGCCGCAAGGTCTATCTGTGATTCCGAGTTCCTGCACCCGTCTAGTGACCCTGTTTGACCCTGACTACGCTGCCTGCCCCTGTGATTGACCCGGATTGCCCTGACTACGCTGCCTGCTCCTGTGATTGACCCGGATTGCCCTGACTACTCTGCCTGCTCCTGTGATTGACCCGGATTGCCCTGACCATTCTACGGACTGACTTACCCTGCTGACCCTGCGTGTGACCCGACTACTCTTTGCCTGCCGATTCTGTACCTCGCTTACCCCCACGGGACCACGATCCGTTACTACCCTGCTGGGGCCGCCATCCGCTTCACATCTGGCTCTCCGGTACCTGCATACGTCCCCGGAGGTCTCCTCAGCCACTGGTGGGCCTGCTCAGAGGTCGTGACCTGGTCCGGGACTGTTTCAAGTCCATCCCCACCATCAGGGGCCCTGGTGAAAGCACAGCCCGGGCTTAGACCCCACGCTCTGGGTAGGTCTGTCAGTTGGCAGCCTGAGGCACCACCTGGCGGATCATAACAGGTGGATTCTCATCATTTTTATGTATTTTTGGGACTGTGTAAATTACTGGTACCCTACACAAATCAGGGACTAAATATTTGGATTCTTTCTTATTTAGAATCTTTTTTTCCATACCTTTCTTTACCAGTTTTTCTAATTCCTTTTTATACGATAAAGTAGGATCCTTCCTTAACACTTGGTATGTAGATTCATCATTTAGCTGAGTGGAGAGCTCTTTCAAATAATAGTCTTTTGATAATATCACAATCCCACCCCCCTTATCCGCTGGCCTTATCACTATATCTTCTCGTTTGGATAACCTCTTGATCCCTATTTCCAAGCCTATATTTTTCTTGACTATGGGAACCTTCAATTTCTCTAAATCATGATTAACTAATTTCTTAAAAACCTCTATTTGACTGTTATTATTATTCTGTGGATTAAAAAGTGATCTATTTTTGAGATTAGTATGGGTAAAACTACTATTCGGGGCATTACTAACACAATTCTTAGCCCCTGGTAATCCTATAAAATATTTTTTTATATTTAATCTTCTGATAAACTTTTGAGTATCTATATAAACTTTAAATTTATTAATGGATGCAGGGGGGGGGCATATTTCAGACCTCTATCTAATACCATAAGCTCCTCTT